GGCAGAAATAGTATGTGTTCAAATGCAAGGAGGAGCATCCATGAGGAAGAGAGTAGCTGACCACATTATGTATGATCTGTCCATTGTGCTAAACAGGTGTTTCGGAGCAGGACCACGACGGCTGCCGTCTGCTTATCTCTGGGATTCCTCTAAGTATGGCATTAATGCTTGCCCTACATAAGGGCTAGACATGCTAGCTAATGATTTAGACTCTACTTCATGAACTGTTGAAAATTTAAAACTCTCCTGAAGGTACTTGACACTAGCTTCTTCTATGCTTAAGGGTGGTTCTACCTTGTTTAACTGGCTGCACAACCTGACTTGTCTTAATTGACCCCTTAGACCTAAAAGACCTCACTGGAACCTTGGGCCAGTGCAATTACAGTTGCACACATCATTGAGGTGCAAAATCTGTAGGCTGGGTGACTGACAAAAGGGTCCCGGGGGAGGTGCGCCTAGAAGTTATTACCCTTGTTCGATTTTCCCTGCCATACCATATCCTTTAACTTCATCAAGGTGGTCAGTGAGAGGCAACCGATAGGTGGAGCTGTGCAGATGAGCAGAAGGTACTGTTTGAGGAGAAGCAGAGATCCCACACTTATGTGGTCTACTGCCCTCCTTTTAGAAGAAAAAAGAATTCCTCAGCACTCGCTCCTTAACCCCACCCCCCCGCAATGGAAAACTTTTCTGCTCTAGCCCATAATCCAGGATAAAGAGCGGAAGCCTTAGCTTTTGCAACCCCACCCCCTGCCCCCAGGGGGGTGGTATCACCCGCTTTGGGAAACTGCGCTGGGAAATAGGAGGAGCGGTAGCTGGAGAGGGAGCTTGTGGAAGAGGAGAGATCCAAGCCTAAGTGAAAAGACAGCAACAGGTGCAGAGGAGAGAGAAGTGATCGGGTTTGGAGGAATATTAAATGTGGTCCTTGAATGTACGTCCCCCCATTCTTCTTCATGGGGTGAAGACTCCATGGTGTGGTCTGTGGTGTCTGGGGAGCCAGTCTGTGTCATGTGAAGTGGCACTGAGTAGGGTGATGCAGCGCTATTTTTAGAGGGGAAGTAACCAACACCTGTAAAGTGGCAGCATGTGAACGAGCATGTGAACGAGGACTAGTTCAGATGACAGCTGGAAGGGGTGACCCTGTGACATGAGTGGACACAGCTAAGGGTTACGGGTCCCAGCAACTTATATGGGAAAGTATTTTAGTAAACTCCAGGACTGAGAAATCTATGTTAGAGAGATGTTTAAACAGTTCACTGGTATCGTTTTATATAGCATGTAATATATGTAGCATAAGATGCATGATGTTAGCACAGCGAGTTTTGTTATACCCACAAAATTGTTTACTGTCTGAGAGGAATTACTGAAACCAGAATGAAGGCCAAACATAAAAGTGGGACAAGAGCAAAGTAAAAGGAAATAGAGGAAAGAACTATGAGACAAAGGGCATTTACAGAGGTCTAAATATAGGCATGTACATATGTAATATATATTTTATATAATGATAGGGAAATAGGTCTATGTACATATATTTATATGTTAGGTATCAAGGTAGCAGATGGACATTGGGTCCCTATTCAAATACTCCCTCAATTCAAGAACACTTTGTTTTAATAACCTGGCATTCCATGATGCTCACCTTCCTGACATGATCACTGAAGACAAAATGGGTGCATAAGCAAATGTGGTGAAGAAAGCTGATGGTTCATGGCTATCAAAAGATATAGCATTTGGGGTCTTTAAGGATTGAAGATGAACAAGCAGCCATCTAGCTGAGAAGCAACAAAGTTCACATGGAGGAAGCACACCAGCCTGTGTGATCAAAGGTGTCAATGGAATCAGGTATCAGGCATCAAAGACCCAGAAAAAAAATCATATTAATGTGAATGAGGGGGTGTGCAGAATGGAGACCCAAAGCCCATGTTTAGACAATTGGACATCCCCTCACAGAAGGGTCACAAGGAAGAGATGAGCCACTCAGGATGCAGCATAGCACCAATAAAACATATAACTTTCTTTTAGTTCTTGAATGCTCCCTCTCTCCCCCCACCCCACAACCCACTATCATGACCCCAATTCTACCTTATAAATCTGGCTAGACCATAGCATGTACACAGGTACAGATAAGAGCTGGAAACACAGGGAATCCAGGACAGATAAACCCCTCAAGACCAATAATGAGAGTAGCGCTACGAGGAGGGTAAGGGGAAGGTGGGGGAGAAAAGGGGAACTGATCACAGTGATCTGCATATAACCCCCTCCCTAGGGGGATGGACAACAGAAAGGTGGGTGAAGGAAGACATCAGTCAATGTAAGACATGAAAAAATAGCAATTTATAAATTATCAAAGGTTTGTGAGGGAGACAGGGTCGGGGAGAGAGGGTAAAAAATGAGCTGATATCAAGGGCTCAAGTAGAAAATGTCTTGAAAATGATAGCAACAAATGTGCAAATGTGCTTGACACAATGGATGTATGTATGGATTGTGATTAGAGCTGTGTGAGCCCTCAATAAGGTTATTTTTAAAAAAAAACAGGACAGGTAAATCTATAGAGACAGTAGCTAGATATACTTACCTAAGGGCATGGTAGGAAAGAATGAGGGGATGGTAATCTAACAACAACGAGTATGCAAATAAAATGCATAAAATCTGAAATTGATTTGAGGAAGAAAAAAAGATTATGTACTGTCACTATTCCAGAACAATCGCTTCACTTCCCTTACCCCCCCACCCCCCCACACATATACACCAAAAACTGTAGCCATAAGCAGTCACTTCTTAGACTCCCTTGCTTTGTCAACTACTTTCTCTCCTGGGTTTGTCAATTTTGGGCATTCACAATAAATGAAATCACAAAATAGGTCTTTCAGACTGGCTTCTTCCACTTAATGTGATGTATTCAGGGTCCACTCACGTAGCATCCATTAGTATTTTAGTCCCTCTTGTAGATGACTAGCGCATGCTGGAGTATCGCACATTGTATGTACCCTTTCATTAGTTGATGAGCATTTGAGTTATATCTATGCTTTGGCTACTATGTATAAATAGCCAGGTACAAGTTTTTGTGTTAGTAACTTTATGCTTAACTCTTTGAGGAACTGTCAAAATGTTCCAAGATAGCTATTTTTAAAATGTCATGCCTTGTTTCAGTAGAGAAAAAGAACCAAATGGAAGGACTTATGCTGCCTGATTTTTCAGAATTACTATGAAGTTGGGTGTATAGCAGACTGAGAAAGAATAGGCTGCCCACTTCTAAGGGATTAGTCACTGAAAACCTTATGAATAACAGGGAACTATTTCATTATACATGGAAGAAGCACACGAGTCTGTGTGAGCCAAGGATTGTAAGTGATAAAATCCAAGACCGGAGGAGGGAACGGTATTCAAGCAGAAATTTTGATTGCCTGGCTGCAGAAGGCTATGGATGACAGTGAAAGTCCAAAGTCCGTCTGCAATGTGTACATAGATGAAGCTTCCGAAGACTCTCCTCTGACCATTGACTAGGGAAGGTGAATAGCGTTCCTATCGGAGACAGAGTGCATTGGAAAGTAGATTGATGCAGATGTAGTTATGTTAAAATTGAGTATATATTATCATTTGTTCTCCCTTTTGACCCATTTGAAATGTGTTCTAATTTTCTGCTTTCGTTTCACTTGAGATTTTTCTGTTACATTTTGATATTGTTGAATTTTGGGGGTATGTTTTCCTGTGTATGAAACTCAGGATAGATAAATCTATGGAGAAAATCACTGGATTAATAGTTTCTTGGGGTATGGTGGCAGAGGAATGGGGAAATAGAATGGTAATGAGTACAAGAATGCAGAAAATTTGGTAAGGGTAAAAAATAATGGTAATGAGTACAAGAATGCAGAAAATTTTCTAAAATTGTGGTGATGACATACAACTCTTTAATATGTTTCATTGCATTGTATGGTATGTAAATTATATGTCGTGTTAGGCAGGGTCCTCTAGAGAAACAAAACCAGGACACTTAGGATTATATCTATAAAAGCATAGGTTTATATAGCGAGAAGGAATACAACAGCTAATTAGTCCACAGAGCAGTATAGAGGGCTCAGTCCAACTCACTTTCATGGGGTGGTTAATAGACTGAAGGTCCTTTGAGCTCACATGGCCTCTGGTTAAAGATCAAGGAAGCAGACAGCGAAGTGGCTGGCAGGAGGTATGGAGTCTGCCCATAGGCAAGACAAGCAGAATCGGCAGGCAGCAGACACAGCAGGGTGGGTTGGGCAACAGCAGGAAGATGAGTTATTGAGGTGTAGCAGAGGCCAGTAGCACAGCAGGTAGCACAGCAGGTCATGATGGAGCCTCAAGGTGTAGCGATGCATGGCACAGCAGCACAATCTACCATGATCCACCAGCTGGCATGGCCCACAGGTAGCTCAGAGCAGCTAGCTCAGGCAGCAGCACACTGTTCCAATCATCAGGGAGAAAGAAGAAGAGGCTGGCCTCAAAGAGCCATTTTTCTCAGTAGCTCTCTAATCAAGCTGTGACCGGATTGACAGGCTAAGCTCCGCCCACATGTTCTTATGGGAGCCAGGTTGACACAAAAACCCTATCACATATGTCGACAAGCTGTTAAAATTAAAAATTAAATAAGAGGCAATAAATGGTTCTAGATGCTAATAACCCTTTTCTCTAATTTAATGAATGCAAATTTATAGCCCTTATGGATGTCTTAGGCTGTAAATCTTTGGGGGGGGGGCAGAAAGCCTTATTTGTGTCCTTTGGAGTGGCTGCTAGTTTTGAATTGCCCACCTTCAGATTAGCAGTCCAACTCATGTTCACTGTGCCACCAAGGCTCTCTGTTAGTGATGTGCTGCTATGGGGTCTAATATGTACATTGCTTGACTCTAACACTTGTTATCATTCTGCTTGTCCTTAAGCTACAAGAAGAAAATCTGTGGGGAAATGCTACTGGTCATTTTTATACAGATTTCACTTTGTTTTGGATTCTTAAAAGTTGCTTTTTCTCTTTCCAGTTTTAAGAAATGGTGCTTGGGAAATTGTTCACTGGGAAAAGGTATGCATTGATTTCTATCTTGTTTGTAGAGAAGAAATGCACAGAAATATACCCTAGTAGCACTTTTTAGTCATGTAAACAACTGTCAAGAATTCTTTAATGAAAACTAATAATCATAAATGGAGTCTTCGGGTAGTCACCTCCAATTAATCTTTTGGCACTATACTAGAAAGCCTATTAAAGTTATTTTGAAAGGTACTATTTAGGACATGTTTGTTCTTTCATAATATTCTTTGAGTATTGTTTCCATAGATTTTATTTAACCATGAACTGTTTTACATTGGAATTGTTTGCTTTAATTGTTTACTGTCCAAGTAAAAATCAAAACAGAGTCCTGATACTTCACATTTGTCTATTTTGTTGCAAATTCATATATTGTGACTAATCACACTTGCACATTACTACTTCCTTTGAAAAGATCTTCATGAAGGAAGCATTATATATTAATAAACTGGAAGTCAATTTCATACCATCTAGAGATTAGTATGCTCGGAGGCCTTTAATGGCAATGAGTTGAGTCATAATTTTTCAAACACTATCAAATGTTCATCCTTTACAGACCCCACTTTCAAAATGTAAGCAGTTACTAGTTCTCCTGAATTTTGGAAGAACAATTAACCACTCTCAATGATATGAAATCCATTTCGACTCAATTTCTAGTCATCAAAAATGAGTATCTGTGTGCATTGGTCAAAGGCTTTTTGGATTCCAGGGCACTGAGTTTTCTGGCCTTTCAGAATCCTCACCAAGCCAACAAAAGTCTATCTTATTGTGAGTTTTAAGGATCCTGTCCTTGATTCTGTCCTTCTTATTGATGATCAATACTGCAATGCTGAAGGGAATAAAGTCCTGATGAATTATTGGCGTTTTATAGATTCTGAACTTGAGGCTAGAATAGAGATGGACATCTCTTCTGGCTGTATGAAGCATCTCTCGGAATTTGGGCTTTGACATAAGAGGAACAAAGAGGAAAGTACCATGATTTTGCTTTCTTATTTCTGTAATGGAGCACTGGTGGCGTAATGAACTATGTGTTAGGTAGCTGACAGCAGCAGTTCAAAACCACCACCTTCTCCATGGGAGAAAGACGAGGCTTTCTACTCCTGTGAAGGTTTACAGAATCAGAAATCCAGAGGGCAGTTCGACCTTGTCCTTTCCGGTAGCTCAGAGTCAGAACGGACACGGTGATAGTGACTTTTTGAGTGTGTGTATTTCTGTATTTGTGTTAGTTGCTTATTTTTCAGAAGAGCAAGATCAAGACTAAAACTCAAAACACTGTTTCAAAAGTGTTTTGAAACAAACAAGTTTCTTTTATGCTCTTGTATGATCCTTGGACTAGCCAGGTTATTGGACAAGGACTTTCTTTGGTTTATGTAATGCATATTTTTTATGCATTAAAAATAAAATCAATATACTGAAACCAAGAGTCTGAGCCTCATGCCAAATATGATAAACCGTAGACTAAATGGCTTTTCATTCAGGATTCTTTCACTGTCTTTCTAAATGTGTGGCTACTGCGGTTGCTTTTGAATGGTCCTCAAAGACCTACAATTTGCAGAGCCCCCACCGTATGCTCCAGTAGAGGGGCAGTTGTATTTAGCTCTCCAGCTTCAGGAGCTCATCTCCCCAGTCTCTACCCCAAAGCCTTTTCCCTGTTGCAAAAGATTAAGTTAAGGATCCAGTTTAAAAACAACATGTTGCATTCATAAAACCACACAATGAACTCCATCTACACTGTTGAAATGTAAATAGCTGTCATCATTGGCCTCACCGTGAAGGACAGTTGTTCAAATTGATATGCAACAAAACTATTATCAGGTGTTTTGAGATAGATATAGGTGGAAACTTTCCTCTGGCTTTATAGTGAAGCATAGAGTGTTAGGGTATATGCCTTTGTCACAGTTACTCTATACTGCTGCCTTCGTGCATGAGTATTTCACCAGGAAATACATATATCTTTCCATTGAGTGCCACTAGCTCAATGGTTAGGCATTTGGCTGTTAATCTCGAGGGAGGCTGTTCGGACCACCAGCTGCTCTGCGGGAGAGAGGTGAGGCTATCAGCTCCTTGTTACAGCTGTGGAAACCCTGTAGGCCCGTTCTACCCTGCCCTGCAGGAGCTCTGGAAGTTGAAATCAACTGGACTTTGCTATCAACCCAAACCCCTTAAAAATATAAGTCTTCCGTGACCAAAACTGAACAAACTATTTGATTTTCATCCAGCTTAGTTCGATTTAAGATATTCCAAATTTCTGATTTAGGGTGAAATAAGTATTTTCTTGAATCAAGCCTCCCCCGCTTCCTTACCTGTCTCTCTCCCCTGCTCCTCCTCTAGTGCAGAAGTGGAGCACAGTGAACTTTATAGAATTTCTTATCACGCGTGCCAGTGAAGGTGCCATTTTCTCCTCCTCCCCAATTAAGTGTTGCCTCGAGGAAGAAATGACAGGGAGGAACAAAAAGATTTCCTTTCCTTTGATAAATTATTGACATTTATTGTTAGGTCTTTCTGGCTTCTAAGAGAGAGGGGAAATGTTCATGTTTTACTGGAAGGCGACAATCAGTATAACATAGGAACTACGTTAGTTGTAACTTAACTAGACTTCTCTTGTTTCCTGAAGGCGCTATATGACAAACCTACCTTTAAGTTGATTCTCTCAGTTTTCATGCCGTCTGCAGGCGCTGACTCAAAGCACCCAGGAGGGTAGGGCAGAACTGCCCTGGGGGCTGCCGAGACTTTACAGCAGAAAGCCCGTTCTTTCTCCTGAGAAGCATCTGGGGTTTCAAACAGCTGACCTGGCAGCTACCAGTCCAACATGTAACCAGTGTGTAACAGGTAGTAAAATAAGGAGAGTAAACCAGTTATCTCTATTTAATTTAAAATTCAGTGATAACCAAAACAAAACACACTGCCATCCAGTTGATTCCAATTCCTGGAAACTAGATGGGGAAGAGCAGGGCTGCTCTCGAAGATAGTCCTAAGACTGTGCCTCGTTAGGGAAGCAGACTGCTTCACCTTTCTCCCAGAGGGTGGCTGCCAGATTCGAACCACGGACCTCCAAATCAGCAAGCCAGTGCTTAACACACGGTGCCACCAGGGCTCTGAAACTACTTGATAATCTCGCTAAACTTTCTTACGGAAAACCAGGCTCTTCCACAGATTGTGGGTATGAGCAAGTAATTTCATCTGGGACTCATTTTCCTTGTCTAATTATGAATGATAGCGACCACCTGTTTCATGTGTCATTGTGAGGCTTCGTAATGATATGTATGATTGATATTTTCTCCCCCTGTATTGATTGAGATTTACCTTAACTGGGTAGAGATTCAATTGAGTAGATTCCTCTTATTTATTTTAATGTGAAAAGGAGGGACTATGAGAAGTCTAGATGTCAGGGATGAGATAGAATGTACAGATTCATTGTACTAAGGTAAATTGTGTAGTGGATAAAGATGCAAAGTTTACTTTTCTAAGATTTGCCCCACTCCTGGCCTCATCCCTATGCAATTCAATGGCGCTTTATGAAGATCAGTGGTTTGTGCTCGTGAATAACCTTCTCTACTGGGTTCTATGCTTAAATACAATGGGTTGTATATTCGTAATAACCTTTCCATGCAGATAATTAACCAATTCCCAGTTTTCTTTCAGGTAAATGTTGGAGATATAGTTATAATAAAAGGCAAAGAGTATATACCTGCTGACACTGTACTTCTCTCATCAAGGTAGAGACACCTACTGACGCTCAAACAGTGTAGAGGATGGTTTCTCTACCCTGCATTGACCTCGTGATTGCTCCAAGGGAATAAGGGATAAACGACGAATTTTAAACCTCGCTCGTGATTCTGAATTGCGCACTAAGAAAAGAAAGAAAAATGTCGATTGAACTTAAGGATTCCTTTCATGTCTGCCATATAGACTAAGTGATCAGTGCAATCCTTGATCATTCACTAGTCATGATTACAATTGGGAATCCACTCTCCCAGTAGATCCAGAGTCTTTAGTGCAAGGCATGATTTCTTAAGATTTCCTGTCATTATTTTATATAAGACATGGATTGGGCCCTGTTTGATTTTATCTTGCAATCCTTGTTCATAGTACACTTCTTTATGATACATGTGTATATCCCTGCCAATTTTTTTTCTTTTATTTTCATGGTGCAATAGTATAAGAAACTGGAATGATTTTTTTCTTCTTTTTTGTCATCATACTTTTTAAAATGCCATGTTCTTCCAACAACAACAGCAAAAATACTTTGTCCTGGTTTTTTATGCTCTTTCAGTGACTGAACTTCAGTAATGTTTATTTTACTCATCTTTATGATAGTCATGAATTGGTACTTAGAACATATGGCATTATTAACCATTAGCAGATATGACTTGCGAAGTATTTTATGTTTAAAAACTGTAATACTAGTCCTAATATAAATTCAGGAAAAAAATTAAAGTATTTTAGAGGTTGTTTATCATCATTTCCTTGGACAGTTTTATTTGTAAAATCCACATATGAATATGACTGTGCCTTTTTTTCAAAATCTATTTCATCAGGTCGCTGCTGAAACTGGATTGGATTTATGACAATTTAGTGAATAAGGGTAGCACGTCATTGAGCAACTAAAAACTATCTATTTATAGACATCTATAAATATTTGAAATTACCACAAGTAGTCGCAGTTTCATGTACTATAGCTGTCTGTTTTTATGCCCTTTACTTACAGGGTTTTTTTTGTTTTGGGTTTGTTTTTTTGTCTTCCATGAGGATGGAGGAAACTTGATTAAAGGAAAAATTAATACAGATGTTTTTACTCAGCCTTTCTGTTATGAGTTTCTTTGCTTATAACTTTTTCAGGAAAAGGTTCTGAAATGGAAGCAAGTAATGGTCTACAGTTGGTGGTATGAGAATGAGTGAGCGCATTGTTATCAGTTCTGATGTGCAGCGAGTAGGGGAGAGAGCTCTGTGTTGGACTCTCAAAGCCAGGGTTCTTCTCCTGCTTTGGCAATTTTGGACCAACTGCTTACCTCTCCAGATTTTAGATCTTTTAAAGTTGAGGACTGTGAATTTAATGTTCAAGCGCTCATATCACTTAATTCTTCTAGCTCTCCTTTTTGTTTAAATTGATCATTTTTAAACCCTAAAGTGCATGTGACTAGCAGAATGATGTGCACTTAGTGGTATGAAAGAAAAGTATTGGATGATCATGTATTACACACTTACCTAAGAAAGTTGAAAATGATCATTAAACCTTTCACAAAGTGTTGATGTTTTCCTGAATAAACCCTTAAAAGTTTTATTCACGAATTAGTACTTAGAACATTTAAATACTTGTGTTAGTCTGGGTACATTAGAGAAACAACTCCACAGAAACACATATGTAGAAGAAAGAGTTTTAAATAATGGGTAAGTGCACATCAAGAAAACGTCCCAACCTAGTGCTCCCCAAGCCCATAAGTCAAACATTAAATCATACGTCCGACACTAATACACAAAGTCTTCCTCCATCTCACAAAACACACACTATGATGCCAACTGCAGGAGGAA